CTCACGAGATATCACTCGGTTATCGTGTCGACACCCACGTCGAAATTATGGTCCGAGTCTAGGAGCAAAGTCCTAATATAATACTCATATGAGTGTCAGTATATATGTCAATATGTAGTCATCTATGGACTGTTGTGGGCACAATATTTATGTATAAGTAAGGGCTTTATATGCCCCTGTATAATGTAAAAGTCAAGTCAATTGAGAAAGTCAATACTTTACTTTAACGTCAAAACGGGTATTTCTATAAGCACGATATTGGGTGTAGGTAAGCTTAATATTAGGCTTATTCGGGATTAGGACCTTATTGCTCAATCAGTTCGCTTGAGCCCTATTATTTCATAAAGCCTTAATAAGACAAAGTCTTATGATATGCGATAAGGCTTAATTTGACATTATATGCATAGATGGCTGCCCACCTGTTCCGTCACCCCGTCACCCCCATCACCCCGCCGTCCCCGCCGCCCCCGCCTACCTACCTGATTACCTACCTCCCTACCTCCCTACCTCCCTACCTGCCTCTGCTCCTCCATGCTGATTTGACGTCGATTTGCTGCTCATTTGGTGTCGATTTGGTGCTCGATTTAGTGCTCGATTTAGCTCTCGATTCGGTGCTGATTTGATGCTCGAATCGCTGCTGCTCGATTCGCTGCTGCTGGATTCGCTGCTGCTGGATTCGCTGCTGCTGGATTCGCTGCTGGATTCAATGATCAATCCGTTGATTGAATGATGATTTTGATGGTGGGGGGGAGGGTAAATGAGGCGGCGGAGATGGATGGTGATGTGCAGAGGTGGGAGAGGTGATGAAGATGAGTAGGCGCGGACGGGTTGATATTGCCAAGTGCCTAACCCTAACCCACCAAACTTTAATTTTGCAGCTAGGTCCCGCTAGATTTTACGGGTTTCCCTAATCCTTAGATATTCGGGAGGCTCAGTCCTAGTAAATGTCTTAATATGTAACGAACTCTGGCCATCAAGCATTATCTCAAGTAAGGATGAGGTCGATTTTTAAGGGTTATTTCGGATTAAGGATTGTTTCGGATATAGGGCTTATTTCGTGTATAGGGCTTATTTTTAAACAAAGGCAAAAAGAGAAAGGTGGGGGGATTGACCCCAGAGCCTTGCAGCTAGCAATGTACTTCATGCTACCCACTGAGCCATGGGAGAACTGTAATTCCGGTGCTGGAAGTGATATATGGCCAGTATAATGCGAACCTTAAGCCTTATATAAGCCTTATATAAACCTCATCCACCGAAAGGTCTTAAAAAAGGCTTATGTGATGAGTAAGGGAGATCAGGTATAAAGGCTTAAGCTATTTGATAATTATTATCTAGGTTTAATGGTTATTCGCAAAATAAGCCATATATATGCCTTATCCTACATCAACCCTTCCACAAAGAAGAGACTTACCCCAAATCAAGGCCAATCCCACCACTATTCGTCAATAAGGCCTTATTTAACGCTTATAATTATTTGGCAGTAAATCGTTACTGGAGGCTTATTTTCTTACCCCCTCGGGCGGTAATGTAGTCTTTCGCATTTATTATTATTTATTTATTATTTATTATTTATTTTCATCAACCCGTCACTTGTTGGGCTCTTTGTCGACGCCGAGGAAAGAATCAAGTCACCCCGCTATCTCGTCATCCTTTTCAAAAACAGCCAGTGCTGTTATCGTGTCTCTGTGCCTTCTTCAAGGCATACTACAAGACTTTACCGTCACTGATATATGGTATGTACAGGTCTGAGAATGAACTATACGTATTCAAACCTCGATGTCTAACTTATATTAGGGAACAACCAGATCTTTGGGAACCCGGAAAAGACACGAGACTCGTACGGGAATCAGATAATCAAATATAAATCTAGCTCCATTTGCGCAAAATCTCTATTTACTGGATGGCCCGGACTCATGAGGAAATCAAACACGATTTCTTATTCAGAAGTTTATGTATATAGTAGTACAGAACTACGGTTATCTTGCAAAACGCTCAAGACCTTTTCTTTCATTGACAGTCCAAAACAAAACAACTGCTAATTTGGTCTTCTCTTGTTTTGTGGTTATCACTACCATCATCGCCGGCCCCTCGTTAGGGGGGGGACTCAGATCCAAGCCCTCCACACTGAGCTTAAATACATCTCCTCTGGCATAATGCCCACCGAGGCCCACGTCCATGTCCATCTTCGCGCGCACCACATGCCTCTCGACGTGAAGATCATCGCTGACCAGCAAGCCCTCCTCGCCTACCATCGGACCCTCTAGCACGTCCCCCATCGGGCCCACGATGGCACTCCCACCTGATGAGACAATCTCCAATGTCTCACCAACATTCTTGTAGACGTATCCATCTACGTACTTCGGGAGTGTATTGGATGTCACAAACTGATTGCAGGTGAGCACGAAGCAGCGTCCTTCCTTTGCGATGTGGCGCATAGTGGACATCCACGACTCTCGGGCGTCAGCAGTGGGCGCGAGGTATACCGATACGCTCTGAGAATAGAGCGAGGCGCGGAGAAGAGGCATGCTATAATTGACTGAGGTTAGACACCGCCCCTCCGACCCGCGCATTTTTGATAGCTAGGGAGTAGGGAGCCTACTAATTCTCCCAGCAGATTGCCGCACCCAGTATCACCTCCTCGCCGCATAACGTTGCCTCCACAGCCTTCAACGTTTTCGTCGACCCCAACCCCCAAACTACCCTCTCTGCACCTGTCTAACACACCGTTAACCGCCAGGCACAACTGGTTCAAGCACAAAAGCACCTACTGGCATAACCTTTCTCCTCTTCCCCACCACCCCCCTCCCGGGATCTACAAACACACACGCACAATACAAGGTCCCCCCACACCTCTCCACCACCCCCACAACGAGAAACACCCCCCATTTCTCCGCTATCTTCTCCAACTTCTCCCTGGTCCCGTCCCCTGCTCCATCCTTATACACACCGGTCCCGTCGGGACACGAGTCCCCCAGGTCCACACACTCCTGCCAGTACTCATAATACTGGTCCCTCCCTTTCTCGCTGCGCGAGCCCACTGCGACCCCGAAATTGCACGTCCGCGGATACCCACCCAGGAAGGCCTCGGGGAAGAGGATGAGATCTACGCAGGCTCCAGAGGCCTTCTGCACTACGCTTTCCAGGAGCTCCATGGTCTCGGCTAGAGTTTCGCACGTGGCGTATTGGGCGACTGCAAGCTTCATTGTGTGGCGGGTGTCGTGATGTATGCTAGAGCCAGTGTGTAAGAGGGCGGGTTGTGCGTGATTGAAGGTTCAGATCAGGTCGGGGTCGGGACCTCGGGGTTGGCTGTTGGTGAGTGTGGAGAGGCAGGGATACCCGAGGTTTGCCCGCTCCCGCTCCCGCTGCGGGGTAGATGAAACTATCAAATTCGCAGCCTGCCTTTGCCCAAGCAGGTATCTAATACTTATTTTTGATTGGCTCTATGGTTATTCTCAACCATTAAGAGCAACGGATACCTATGTATACCCAACTCAGTGCATGCACGCAGGCTGCGAGGTTGACAATTTCATCCGTCCAAGGGATACTCTTATGCTGCATGCATACAGATAAGTGTATGTACCTCTGAGGGATTGGTCAGCCTCTGCTGGGGATCCAGAAATTAGCTAATCCGTGCTAAAACCTGGGGAATAAAATTAAAAAAAGGCGGAAGATATCACAAACACAAGCTCTTGCAAGCTCTGGGCTCGGCGAGCTACCTTCTATTGAGTTGATGTGCTCTGCACTTTTAGTAATAGCATAGCGGAACATGCCAACACTACACGGATAAGGTGCCCCAGTCTTGGGGGTAACATAAGGAAAATGCCAAGTCTCGAATAACTTTCCAACCACGACAGATATTAGAAATCTGTATCATGTAACTCTTCTTCACCACGGTGTCCAGCTTTTGTACTGTACGGACTTTTAATATCTGTCGTGGTTGGAAAGTTATTCGGAACTTGGCATTTTTCTCATGACATCAGGTATTGTAGGGTTACAAAAATAACCGATCACTGGGAACCTCGTGAGACTCATAGCAACCAAAACTGTCCAGTGAAAAAACCTTATATAGAGACATTCGAGGTCAGAATGATAAGTCAAGCCTTTCCAAGCATCTAACTCCGTTGAGGACACTTAAATTATTCAGTTGCTATCCCGGTTGTTGAGTTATTCTAATATGAAGTGGACCTCGATGCTGCCAATGTTAGAGTAGGTGATCGGTTATTTTTGTAGCCATACAATATTTACATTTAAGACTGGGGCAAGCTTGGTGTCACACTCGTAACAACACCCCGGGTAGAAAGACTGCCCCAACCCGGATAGACGCCCTGGGTACCTACATAGGTAAGGATTATATTACGCCCCCCCCCCCCCGCTTGTATCATCGTTCATCACTCGGAATAGTGCGTACTCAAGAAGAATGGCTCTTGGTATCAATGACGATGACGGAATAGCACAGACAAGCTTCTATAAAATGAGCCCATGTAGTTATGATGTAGCGACAGGATCAGAGCGATTTGGCTCTCGATGAGTCGGGGTGCGTATTTCCAAGTTGTAACTACATGTATTTTCAAGCTTAGCGCTCCCATTGACGGAATAGTGCGAAGCAACATCAGAACTCCGGGAGAAAGATACGGAGCACAGGACAATTGAGAAGCTTCTGTGGACAGAAACAGGTATTGAAAAACCGCGCTCGCGATCTGGAAGAGGTTCACGAAAATGGAGACATGAACAAGTTTGTAATTATTTCATTCTTTGTTTACATTTGTATGTTATTAGTTTGTGCGAGGTGGAGTAGTTCAGGGGCTAGTGTGATATTGCCATAGACTACTCTACGGTCTGCAATTAATGAATCAAACAAAGAAACCTTAGCGCCCCGTCCAGCAACATTCCGCCCGTGAAGTTTTACGGTTTACTTAAATAAACGGGCAAAGGCCCTGATATTTCTATCACCGCGGCCGGGCGCATAGGCCCGGTGATATACAGGCCGGGGAAGCAAAAAGTGATTGCGCCCGGGCTCGAACCGGGGACCACTTGCGTGTGAGGCAAGTGTGATAACCAACTACACCACGCAACCAATGAGGTATTGTTATAGTTGTCCATTGCGCCTTTGAATGTTCGAGGGGTTTGTGGTTACGTAAAGTGCAGGGAGTAGAGTGGGATTATGTAAGGTGCTCATGATTTAGAGGGCTGGGCGAGAGTTGTGAGGGAGCAGAGTACCTACTCCTAGGATGATAGTAAATGTGTTATTAACAGGCAGGAAGAAGAAAGAGTGAGAGTACAGAAGGAAGAAAGGAAGCGGGCGGTAGAAAAAAAAACATTTTGCCCCCAGCCAGCAAAAGAGTTCGCAGCCGTCTCGACTGTTACTTCTCTATCTACGTCAGGGTTGAACGCTCGTTAGCTATAGTGTAGAGTGCGAACTCAATATCACACACTATACCGCTAGGCCATTCAACCCTATGCTCACTATAATTCTTTTGGTGTACTGAGTGTACGCGTGTACCAGTCGGCTCCTACTTTACGCTAGCTTGGCAGGGCTGCATGGAGATGGCTCGGAGATGGAATGGCTCCTATTACATGTAGTATACACTAATGTTGGGTAACTACAGTACCAAAAAACGGGGCGTTTTCGATACCGTAGTGCTACGGCAGTAGTGCGGTATTTGTTATAATGCCGCATCGCTGGGCCAATACGGAGATAATTCGGCATTCATTGGGCATTCATGGGGGTTAGGGTATTTTGTAAGACTGCCGTAGAACTGCTGCAGCACTACCATTGTATAACTACATGTATAATATAAGTTACTGCTGCATGCTAGGTGACAGTTGCCCGCCTTAGTATTTGTGCCCGCCCTCTATTCCACCACTACAGTGTGTACCTCGCGTACGTTAACATGTAGTTTAACACCGTGTGTAATCACCATCATTAGATCATAATTATATTAAGTATCACCACTAGCTCCACTAGCAGGTGATAGATCGAAATCCTGAGAAGAAAGAAAATCTATTTTTAAAAAGTATTCCCTAAATCTTTATCACCCGGTGATAGGAAACCAGAAAATAAATTGTGATGGTAAGTTCCGTGATGCTTCATGATAAAATCAGCCCTGGGAATCTTTTTCTAGGTGTCCATCCAAATCTTGCATGTACATCTAAAAAAGCGGTAGCGCGAAATTGGACATTTAAGCTATGCGGTAGTAGTGCGGCATTTGAAATGAATACCACAGAAATACCAGCCTACCGGCCGAAATACGCCGCCTATGCTATTAATCATAAGAACACTACAAGGATACGAAGTCCAACCAAATGCCGCAGTCTCGCGGCATGAAAAACACCCCGTTTTTCTGTTACTGTACATGTTAATGTGCCTTTCGTGGGGCCTCTTGAACCCATTGCCAGTTGATCATTCTACTGCGAATACCTCGTTTCTGGTACCTCCCAATACCACTCAGTTAATACAATAACAATTCAATGACACATAATATAACTCCGCTCCTCGATCCTGTCGCCACCTCCACCGCTCCTCCACCTCCCCCTCCACCACTCTTCCACCCACCCTCCCCCCGGCCCCCCTTTTCTCTCCCACTACTCATAGTTAGATTATTTAATAATTAGATTTATTATTTAATTATACAGAGTTCCGTTGCTTAGTATCATTGCTATGCAGAGGTCAAGGTCAGGGTCAGGGTTCAGCTAAGCAAGAAAAGACTGTATGGAAGACGTATTAGATTAGATGATGTGGCCAGAGTAGTGGTGCGGTTTGAGGTGTGGAGAGTATCTGGCTGGTGATACACCACAGAGCGAATACGGAGCGGGCCTGGATGGTACGATGGAGAAGTCACTTGTTCCGACCTTCATGAACAAGGTGTGTGTGTACGATACATCTGGCCATGGACTGCATAGAATAAAAGTATGCCTTTTTATCTTGCAATTGTATTTAGACTAAGAATTCTAAATCCAACAGAATATAGAACCCGCAAGATATATATCAAGAACAGACACTCTTTTTACTCTTTCACCATCAAGAGAATCTGCATGCTCAATTTGACCTTGGGATGCCCTCATGTGAACATCCATTCTCTCATTGTTGAGAAATCATCGAATGCGCATCATTTTCCCACACCCTGGCTATATGTAGCGATGTCAGGGCTGGCAAAGCGTTTCTCGGTGTTTAGACTTCTGGTGCGGTGGAGCTTGAGGGAGAAAAGGACTTGCAATCGGTCCTTCCGGAGAAAGGGCGTGGTGGTTGAACTCATTTGAACGGTTAAGTACACGTAAGCGATGTTACACCACCACATGTAGCTACATGTACGTACATGTACATACATGTATGTACGACGTGATAAGTTGGTCAATGCCGTGATGTATTTTGGGGGTGTAAAAAACTCCTTTTCCGCTATTATAACATTAAAATCACAAATGACACCATATATACTGGGCCACCTATCCCCTTTCATAACTGTTCTCCAGGCATGCAGTTTGTAAATTGAGATACGTACGTGTAATTACAAGTATGCCTCTTATCTGTCCCTTGGTAGTGTTGATGTTTGGTCAATTTTGGTTGTTGACTTGAACAAGTAAACTACCGGGCCGGAAGGTTTGGTGTAGTTGCAGTGGGTCTGTCAGAATGCTGATCTTGAATGTGGTATTCATACATGTAGCGTTTTTCATGGTACTTTTGCAATTTCATAATGTCAGTTAATTACTTAGTCGGTATTCTCACACGATGCGGCATCAAATCACTAATGGCGCGACTTACATCGCATTTTTCTGTATTGTAATTTGAATTTAGTAATATCTTCTCTACCTTGGTTAATATAACTGTGATGATTATAACTCTTAATGCTGCATTATGCGCGGGCTGTTGTAATCATATATCCACTTAAAGTGCTTACGTACTAAATATCACTCGCGCTATTGATAATTTTTGAGGCACATGTACTCCAAATGCACGCCTCGGCCAGTAATCAAACCCGCCTCCACAAGGCACACCTCCAAATCACCCGCTGTTTCTCAGGCCAATCACTCATCATCTCTCCCTCAACCTTCACCCTTGCTTGTGTAGCTGATATATACCCATATTTCACCGAGCTAGGACGGGTAGCATCGTCTCTCCATGAGCCAGAAAGATCTAAAGAAGTACGGTCGCGGGGATAAACAAGCCTCTCGGGGATTTCTATGGGTCATCGCCGAGCCTTTTGAAAACCGGGCTTGATAAAGAACCCTAACCCTGGGACAGGCGAGTGAGGAGAGGTGATTTTGTGGGTTTAATTTGCAGTATACACCCAAAGACCCCCTTCAAAGATACTGAGGGAGTTATTTTTGTAGCTTACAGTCAGGTATTGTGTCGCCACTAATAGCCAATTGCGTATTATTACTCGACTCCATCGCTGCATTCTAAGGGTTTCTTGCGTTATTCTTGATCGTACCAATCCGCTTGAACATCAACCACATGTAAGTTGGTCGATATTTACAGATTTCGGGGATTTGTCCACCGAAGCCAATTTACGCTCCTGATTACGAGCCGGGAGAAGAGGTTTTCGTTTGTATTCTCTTTTTCAGGGCATGCCCAATCTATATCTGAAGGTAAGTACAGCCTCAGCTTGGGCTCGAATATCTGTTGACATAAAATACCCGTTGGCTAGGGTGACAGCATGCTGCAGAGTTATACCACCCTGAGCAATTTGCAGCGGAAGAGAAGCCCCCAGATCCGTCGCGCTTCGGGCCAACCGGAAGATGCTTTGAGAACGGCGTATTAAATTAAAGTATGTACATGTCAGCTCCCCTGCTCAAGGCTCTACTTTCCCGGAACCTCGGCATCTATCCGTGGGGAAATTCCATGGGTCTCTGTTTTAGCCAAGACCTCCATATTAGCAGAACAGGTACACGCATACGTGCCCCGCAAAACACTCCGCGAGCGGAGAAAACAGTTGCAGAGCTCAATTTGGCTTAATGCCATCAGATTACTGATTGTCGAGGATCTCTCGGTCCTCAGCTCGTCTACCATATTGATTACACGGGTGTGATCTTCACCCCGAGTACCCTCCGACATGCAAGGTACAACAACAGAATTCGGTTTTGCAGATATTAGGGTCGGCCTATCATGGCGTGAACTCCGACTTAGGCCGCGACGCTCCAATTTCCTATATTGACGGATCTCGATCAAGTGTCCCAGGGTAGCATTGTTGCTGCCTATAATTCTGAAACTGGCGGATCTGGGGCACTGGCGTGATGTCTACACGTTAAGAGAAACTAGAGAACAGCAGTTGAAACGCTCCACCGACTTCATCGGGGAAACACTACACTTTTACCGCTAAATGTTTGGAGGACGGGTACGCTATAGCACGAGGTGCGCAAGATTCGTTCGGGGCGCGGGTGAAAAGCTTCTCGTCTGCAGTTGCAAAAAGTAATTTAAGCTCGCCGCCAGTGCTGCATGAGATCTTGGATCCCCGTATTTTCTGTGATAAATGTGCTCACTGTGGCTAGAAAACCGGAAACACGACAAAGATCGACACCAACCCCCACAAATAGAGGGTACTTTGATAGACAGGCACATTGGACTGTGGTGCCTTCTGCTACAGTCTTTTACCGTCTCTTGACGAATACTGCCACTTGACGAACAAGGATTCCAGGTATGGAAACAAACAGTCAAGCAACCGCCAAGCTACGAGATCTCCGGTCCTTTTAATTTCTATTGGCCCAAAGTCCCCTGTTCGTCAAGTGGCAGCATTCGTCAAGAGACGGTAAAAGACTGTAGGGAATGTGAAATCTCCCTGTTTTCAGAAGGCTTGAAAGAATCTCTCGGTGACAAGGGCCGACTCTGAAGCTTTCTAGACCCAGACCCCCGGAATTTCTTTTCTGCATGGCGTTGCTTAATACCAAAAAGAGTAAATATTTGCGTATCGCTCCTCTCCTGGCATGGTTATTTGTATATCTCTTTCAGGACAACTCCAAATTTGCACCTGTGATCGGCAGGGCAATACACTGTAGTTCATCCCTAGAGTTATGAGAACTCTCTCGCTAAATGATCCTCCGACTACCGACAGAACCTGTCATGATGATTACAATGGCGCAATA